TAACCCAGATGCAACTCTTTAGGAGGGGTAATATTACTTTCTATACTACCTTTATTTGCTTATATTCTGTCCCCCTTTAGTATAGAAGCTACATCTGAACTGGGAGCATCAACGCTCCATAGAAAACTGTGTATTGTTAGACTTCTCAGCTTCCAGGTTGAGGGCCACGGCCACTACACACTTTTATCTCCAGTTCTCTCAGATGTAACTTTTTGTAAGCATCCAACTTACTCAAGAATCCATATTCCACTCACTTTGAAGTGCCTGGAGTACCTGCCTGTGTCATTTCCTTGACAGCAGGAAGAACGGGGAGAGAAGGGGCAGCAGTATCTGTGACTCTCAGAGGGGGATTGTTATTACATTCTTTGAATGTTTAAGTAATGAAATAACCATTGTGATCAGTTTAAAAATGTATAAAAACCCTCTTGCCTCCAGGAAAGTAATGTTGAGCTTTCATTTCCTCCAGAGACAAATATCAATTCAGAGGAGCAGAAGATAGAATGGAATGAACCAGGTTAGTGTAAGGCCATGGGGCTTTCATCACGTAATTCTAGATATTGTTGCAAAAGCTGGAATATTAAATCTCCGTGGGTGGAGAGATGGATGCAGTCCAAAGGCAACCTAGAGGGAAATAAGACTGAGCTAATGAAAGTCTGCTCTCTCAGTAGTATGTAAAGAATGTCTCCAATATTGTGCTCACTAAAATAGTGTCTCTGACCAATGTGAGAATAATCATAGGCAGAAATTACACTTCCTTCCAAAAATCACATGAAGAAGAATAAAAATCGTGTCTGAAAAAACTCGATCTGTAGAATTCAGCAAGCTGTCTGACTCTTAACGACATTTGAGTATCTTCTGAGATTTCCTGACATAATGAGATTTTAGACTGGGTTAGAGAATGTCTTTATTTCCTTGAATTCTGTGGAACTGCTGATTACAGTCTGATTTTCTTCCCTGTTCATATTTGGTTTTGTGGAGGTTCTTTATTGAAGTTGTTAAAAGAATAGATTTGACTACATCTCTTTTGACAGAGCTATGAAATATACTTTCTTTGAAAAATTTAACTGAAGTTTACTCAGGTGAAATAACTCCTGATGATTATCCCTTCAATTTTCAAGATAAGACTAGAACAGTAAATTTTATGATTCTCCTTAGGAAGTAGGACTTGTGGGAATTAATATCATCCTAAAGCAAAGATCACAGAATAACTGTGATCTGGTGAATTATACTTTGTCTCAATGAGTGCCACTGTTCACTACACCACTGTACTATGCTGTTGACTAAAAAAGAAACCTCAACCCCTCTTGAAAAAACTTTTAGCATTGTCTTTCTCATATCTGTTTTATGCACTTACCCATGCCACCTTATCCTTCCTCACTGTATTACAGTTTATTTCCATAATGTGTAGGTGAAATATACTGCTCAATTTCTTTTTAGAGATCATAAGGCACTATGATCTCTACGGCACTATAAGCTGCACTTGGTAGCAGCTTTCTCATGTCTGCCAGAGCCCTGTTTTGGCCAGCAAAACTCTCACAAATGGAAGGTCCTTCCTAGAAATGACAAGTGTTTTAACATGAATTACTTGCTGTGTAATACAATGAAATCTTTCCTGCCCTTTCCAAAGGAAGGGGCCACTAATGGCCTTTGTGCACCTCTCTTCCCAACAAGTCACAGGCATTCAAAATGGGACTGTAGACAGAAACACTGTTTAGTGGTACATTTCCAGTAGGTACAATTTAAATTTAGCTCCTCCTCCTTGTCCTGCAGTGGTATTTCGGATATGTCGCTATCCTGATGTTTGCAAACTGACCAATATTGACAAGAAGTGAGAGTGGGGCTTCTGCCACCAGAAGGTTTTGATTCCAGATGAAATGCTAATGTGTCCTGATAAAAGCCCTACCTATATCTCCTTCCATAAAACTTATTTCCTCAATGTTCTTGGGCTGCACCAGGGTCTAGAATGGTATCCTTGAGCAACTTTGGGCATACAAAGTGTTACATGTTATGTATCCACATAAAGAATATACATGTTCTAAATTCATCAAAATCATAGAAAGTGTTCCAAATATTGCCTGAAAAAGATTGAAGTAAATCCAATTTAAAGCTTCACTGACTAGTTTAGCACAAAATCTTTGGAAGAACATGGGTAAACATTGCTGCAATCACTTTTACACTGTGCATTCATCTTCCTCTGATTGCATGAGAGCTCATTTACCTTGAGAAGAGAGTTAAGAATCTCTCATAATCGAGCTGTATCAGGCCCTTGTCTTTGCAAGAGGTACTGCCTTTAAATTACTGTGTGCTGAGAAAAATCCCAAGAATCCTATACAAATTAAGAATGTTAGAGTTGGTCCCTTCCAAATGTTCTGGAGCTTAGGATAATCTACTCTTTGCCTACTGAGCACTGCAACAGTTCTAAAAGAGAAGGATTTCAAGCACATCATAGGACGTGAAATAGATATATAACCTAAAATTCTAGAAGTACTAAAAAAGAAAAAAAACCCACACACATACACACACACACAAAAAAAACCCAAAAAACACACACACAAAAAACAAAAAAACAAAAAAAACAAAAAAAAAACCACCCAAAAAACCAAACCAAAAAATCCCAAACTACTTAACTAGCTTGTATCCTGTCAGGGAAGATTTTCCAAGGAGAGTTAATTTCTCTGCACAGAGAAAGAGCCTAACTCCTCATGATGCCAAATAAATTCTCCTCCCTCAGTTTTCCCTCTACTTCTGTAATCTAGCTGTGCTAAAGGACACCTACAAGAGTCAAGTGTCAGCTTGAGACCAGCTAGCAGAAAAAACATTGAAATGGAAAAGTGCAGTTTCGCAATTAATCTTAAGTCTCTCCTTTTGCGTTGTCTCCTACATTTCTCTTTCTATAATTCTGCTTGTATTATTCTGACAAGGACTTCTGTAAACTCCCAAGATGCCAACCTGAAGCTGACAAGAATGGTGGCAAAAATACCTAAAGCACAAATTCTTTTGACAGACTAACAGGAGTCTGTTGTCTGCCAGAATCACCTTTCATTTCTTCTGCTCTGCCCTCTGCAGACACCTCAGCAACAGCCTGAGGGTGTCAGGCATAATTCTGCAAAGACACAGAGAAGAAAAAGAAAATGCCAAGTGTCAAGTCTATCCCATGACCTCCCACTACTATAAAGACTGAAAAGAGAAATCATGGGAAAGTGGCCAGCTGGCTCCTCAAGTCTTGACAATTTTAATTGATTTCCAAGTACTTTCATAGCTATGCTGAGAGATATGTGTGTTTAGGATACACTGAAGTGTTCATTGAATCAATCAGATTCTATTTTGACTTCAGTGGGCTGAAGGTTGACTCTGGTTTCTATCATTAGGGCTCTGTAATATGCATTTTTAGAGGATTAATACAGATCCATCATTCCACCAGCATGTAAAAAAGAGGCAACAAGGGACATTCTGAAGTTTTTGTATTAGAAACACAAGATCTGTAGAGCATGAAAGCTCATATATGTGCTCTTATATAATAATAAAATAAGATTTTTTTTTTTGGCAGTTACTGATGAGGTAATTTCTACTGTTGCTGATCCAAGTGCTTTATGGTGTTCTGAAGAAAATGTTCACTGGCATCACTAACCCTGATCATTCAGTTATATTGCAAACTATGTCCAAGCAGTAATACTCAAAGGAGCTACAGATCAGCACACTCTGAAAAAGGCTAACTATCCAAAGACAAACCACTGAATTTGATAGAAACTAAATCAAACCGCAGCATTTAGCTAACATATCCCTTTGAATTTTTGTCATTCTGAGTGGGTTTTATTTTAAAACAGAGACTCTCCACTTCAGAACTGGGAAGCTGACATCCTGTATCTCTGTCCACGCCATTTGACATTCCTATCATGGCAACTTACCTTCACTGCCATTTGTCACAAATGCTGATGTGGATATGTCAGCTGTCTGTGCAGATATGTCATAGTAAAATAAACAACTGAAATAAAAGTAGATGTCAATAAAGAAACAATGATGCCTGTGAGCATTGTGTTAAATTACTTGATGTTATCTGTGCTTACTCATCATCAGTAGCTGGAGCTTACATGGCAAGCAGTTGTAGTATGAAGTATGATGTTCCACAGGTTTGAAAGGTCAAGTTTAATTTTCCAAACATCTGTAAGTTTATTTTCAACACTTCAATGGCAAATTAAATTCGCTTGAGCAAACTTGTCATATAAATAACTTGTAGTACTGAAGATACAAATTCAGAGTAAAATTGGAGAAATCATAGTCCCTACTATGTAAAAAGAGCTAGCACACCCTGGAAGTCAGAAGCAGCTGGCCTGAGTGGTCACAGAATTCTTAAATGGGATCTTTTCTAAGTAACCAAGAGCAAGCACATATTTTTGTGGGAATAATGCTAATGTGCCTAATGTTATTTGTCAGTTTAATATTTATGATAATATAACATTTGTGGAAGGAGCTGCACAAGGGAGGAAAGAGTGCAGTAGCTCAGATTCCACGCAACAACTTTGGCACTGGCTTCCACTAAGTAACTGATCACTTTGAAAAGGAGAGGATCACTTGGAAAAGCACTCAGCTCTTGGGAAGTCTGAATGCAAATGGTGCCACCCACTCAAGATGATGATCAGGGGCTCTGGGACACTTCCTTGTGGCCACTGGCTTCACTACAGCCATCACTAGGATGGCAATTGTCTTCAACTGGGAGTCCTCTTACATGGGGTAGTGGGTTTGGAGAGGGATGTGCTGTCCAGAAGGAATGGCAGCACATCCCATGTAGCCTAGCCAGTGACAGGTGTGCTCTGTTTTCCTACCCCAGGACTTACTGCCTTTTGCAGTTGATAGTTAGGATACTTATGATAGTGACTCACAGAATAGAGAAATTGGGGTTAAATGACCTCAGAAAATATAGCTGACAAATCTTTCAGGAGATTAGGCACTTTGTTTAAAAAGATCTTTTATTTTCCTCATTTAACCTGCACTATAACATTGACTCATGCATTATCTTTTTCTTTCTTCTCAATTTTCCTTTTCTCATTTTTTTATTTTCCTCCACCTTCATTCCTTCTTTTCCTATGCAAGCCACCAGTCTAACTGCAATAAATAAAAGGGATGAATGGGGGGAGAGTTAGTGACACAGAAAAGAAAGAAGTACGGGATAAAAATATATTAAATAATAAAAGAAAACATAAAACATGAAAGCGGAACATTTCAAAATCATCACTTTTCAATAAAAGGCACAGTAGAAACTATTGCAACTATTACAAAGAAATAAAAAATTACCTAATTTTACATCAACAGAATGCAAAGAACAAAAAAAAAAGGCTCCTTTTTCAAGTTTTGCATCATGAGTACAAGGTTGTTGGAGAATGGACTCTGCCTTCTATTGAGGAAATTTTTTTTGAGTATCCAAACTTTAACAAAAGGATCCATATAAGAATGCTAGTGGATAGAACAAGATTTCTTACACTTGTGATTTGTCTGGCTGATGAAGGAGCATTTTCAGCATTGTCCACCATTTACTACCTTAGACATTCAGTTAATGCAGCTCATCTTCTCTTGTGTCAATTTTCATCAGGAACACGTTCTGGTTTGTCTTTAATCTAGATTTATGCCCAAACAGAACATATCCAGTTTTATTACATTTAGTTTGAAATAGCCCCATGAAATAGATGGGACACATATCTAACTTAAAGAAGCAATCTTTGTCTTGATTCTTATCTCTGGTTACTATAAATCACAGATAATTCTTCTAAGGTTAGTGTAGTTACATGAATAAAAATTCAGATAACAGAAGAAAGTGCTTGCTCCTCTTAAGCATTTGTGACTTTTTCTAAGCAAGGCTTTGATAATATAACCAGGAACAGTGATAAACCCTTAACAATAGATACCTATTGTTCACAGTCAAATGCCCTTTTAGGTCAGCTGTTCAATTACCATGACTTACCAAACAGTGTTATCTCTTCCATTCAGTGCCTGGTGTTGAGTAGTAGGTTCCTGACAAGCAGAAGAAAATCCAATTATCTACTTTTCTTTCTTCCTTCTTCAGGCAACGTTAGCATTTTTAATATAGCATGTAGCCATACAATACAGATGATGGTAGGGAACCTTGAGGAGAATTATATTTTTGTAACTCTTTTTCATAAAGCTGTGAAAGACAGAACCAATTTTCTGCTGCAGCTATCTGAAGAAAACAGCTTTAAATCTGTGCCTGGACAGATTCTGTGGGATAATGTTGTGAAAAAGTAATAGAGAAGACACTATTGCATTTCTTGTTTCAATCCTTTTGGACAGAGTGCTACTTCTTTGGAGGGTTGCTGTGTATTAAATGGCAAGAAATGTGAGCTACCTGTCATGAAGTAATTGTTTCTCTGAAGAGGAAACTATGGCATGTCTTTCACAACTCTTCTGAAGCCTATTGCCAAAAACCCTACAGAACCAGATAAATGGCAATATTCAAATTATAGGACACATTCAGCTCCTGAGAGCAGAGAGACTTCTGTGTCATCCTTTTCTCCACACAGTCTACTTTGGAGGTTTAAACAATGATTTTCATAAAACCCCACCCAAAAATCTCAGAACCACTTTGGGGCTGTCCACTTTATTTTTTTTTTTTTTCTTATATGTATGTAACAGCATTACAGTGTAAATGAGTTTCTTGACTTCTTTTTTTTTTTTTTTTTTTTTTTTTTTTTTTTTTTTTTTTTTGTTGGTTTTGCCATTGCTTCACAGTAGAAACAAACTTGGCAGGTAGAAACTTCTTCAAAACCACCCGTGTACCTCACCCAAACTTGCAGGCTTAGAAATGCTTCCGTATCACTCATTTTTATACAGACTCAGTTTGCTTTTGTGGTTATTTCTGGAGTAAAGTGCAGGAGAATCTGGCTGGATTCCTGATATTTTAGCAACCAGTGTAGATTTCTGTTCTTTATAAACCATGAGAAATGCTACTGGGATGATTTTTGAGTCTCAGCAACTTGATTTTCTGTGGCAGAATAAAGAGTGCCCTGGGAATATGTTTCATTGCCGTCAAATGTCATGGAAACCTTCTGACCTTTAAATGTAAACTTTCCAATTTGCAGGAGGAGGTTTAGCCAAAAGATTCTCATTAACATTTGTGGCAGCTAAGAAGCTGAATGCTTTTGTGCTAAACTGAAATTTACCTCTATGCCACAGAGTATGAAACTGTATAAAGAAAGTCAGAAATGCTGCTTGTGCCAAATGTCCTTTCAGAATTAATTTTGAGAAGTTCTCTTGCAACAGGCATGGGCATATCCTGGACTCATTTTGTGTAGTCCTGATAGTTTAAAATCTGATGGCATTCTGACTTGAGGTATTCAAAGATTTACTTAACACTTCTATGGTGCTAGAATGTCAAATGCCTTTTGTCCAATAAACAAAGTTCCTTTTTTTATATGATACAATGCCCATTTTCTTGAAAGGCAAAGAACCTGTGGAAGTACGCCTGCTGCTTCATCAGTACCACTTTCTATTCATTCAGATGCATTTTCTATGAACTTCTGACAAAATATTCAGACTCTGAGAAGATGCTCATTTAATCTGATGATTCAGGTTTTACCTTTCTCTGAATTTTGCCAATTCCTTAGCAGTAGATTTATTAGTTAGCACTGTGGTATATACGTAATTGTTTTTGTTTCACTATCAACAGTAAGACAGTTAAACTTTTCATGAACATTATGCTTTAGACAACCAAGGTGATGGAGACTGCTGTGTTAGTCTAAGCTGTGTTGCAAGTATTCCTAGAGAAGTTTAGGAACTGAATGAATTCCCTTACTTCTCAAAGGCAGTAGGAAAAGTCCCTCTGACTTTGTGGACCAAGACTTCATGTGGGTATGGTATTTTCATAGCACTCATGTGTGAAAACAAGTAAATTAGTTCCAGATTTGCTGCTACCACCTCACTAAGGTAATCCATTGAAACAAGCTGGGAACTAAAGGTCAGAAAAGAACACCTGTGTTCAAAAGAACTTAGAGAGGTGGAAAAGGGCTTGGGGGAGGTTTATGGTTATACAAAAGACTGGTAAAATGCAGATCGCATTTTATTTTTATTTACAGAACCTATTGAGTTAGGGCTCAGGTCCTCTCTAGGCTCTTTGGTAGACTTGGTGAGACTGAAAGAGAAGATAGCAAGGTACCTCACCTTGAGTATTGCTGGTGCAGAAAAGGCTTGGTGAGGGCAAAGCCTGCTAAGCCCTGGCAACACCATGGTGTTACCTCTTGACTCCATTTATTTTCCTACACTTCCAACTGGAGACAGAGAAATGAGCTCACAATTTCTTCTCTCAGTCTTGAACGTGCTCAGTCCTCTGATAACCTCAACAGTTTGAAAGTGCATCCCTTCTACCCAGTGGTCACTCAGTCACCCAGAACAACTGTAGAAATGTTGGGGTTTCTCTCTGGGTGGTCTGAGTTCAACAAAAAGGGTTCCCTTTGTTCCTGCAGATATGTCTGTGTGCCTCAGTGCAGCCCCAGCTCTTTTTGCTCCTGGCTTCTGGGCAAAGTCACTACAGAGAAGAAAGGTGAGCCATGCAACCTATGAATGTTGTTTAGCCTGTAGCAGAAATCAAAGAGTGCCTGGAAAGATCTTGGGAGTTTATTAAAAGTGCTTGCCAGCCATCTAACTCTGCACTTGTCCTTCTTTGAATTTCTCAGTGATAAAGCACCTTAGACTTAGGCAAAACTAAAAGTAGTTGCTTGTCTCATTAATTAACAGGTCAGGTGTAGGTGTCCTTCTCCCCTCCTACCATTCCATAGCTCTACAGTCTGACAGCCAGAAGACAGCTAAGTTTCAAGCTGGACTGAAAGTAAACGTGCAAACCCACATTGTTACTATTTAATAGTGCTTAGTTTGCTTTTCAAAAGGCAGGCGTTCACCACCAAGCGAGATTCCCTGAGATACAGATGGCACCTGCATAGGGCTGGGCTGAAGACCAAGTGCCATTACTGAAGCCATCTCAAAATACTCTAAATGCCTGTGCTTTGGCAAAAGAATTGAATCCTAAGTGGCATTTTTAAGGTACTAAAATCAAATCACCTGCAGCAGTAGCAGAATGAACTTAATTTCCAGAACTCAAAGTGTCTACATTTGTTAGCATTGAGCTGTTTCCATCAGTGTTTTCAAAGAAAACTGAATTTTTGTTGTTTGCTACCATTACTGTCTGTAAGATGCTGTGACAACAAGCTCTCCATGTGTGTAAGTTTAGAAAACAAGGCCACCTTTCTTCCCCTTCTGGTTTAATGACTTTCAATGGCTCCATTTATTTTGAAACAAGTTACAGCAAAAGGCAATTTTGCCACTCGATAGCTTTTGGGTGCAATCTGTTTTTTTGACTTAGTAAATAGATGAAGCTCTCGAACAGCCTGAAATTTTTAACCAAAGGAAAAAAGGCTAGAGACAAATTTAAAAGGCAGAAAGCTTCTTTATCATTCATGATATTTTCTAAAAACAAAATAGAATATCACAAAATATATGGATGATGTACCAAGTTTTCAAAGAAAGGAGAAAACTAGAAAATCCTAATTAAATTATATTACTAAAGAGAGCTTATGGTAGTTACATTATCTTGTGACTGAAGTATTTGTGCTGTGATGGAGTGCAAGTACTTTTTGCTGAACAAGCTGAAAATGCTGCCACAGAACAGGCTGACTTCAGCTTTATTCAATTGCTTTGCTTTCAAGCAGTTTCTGATATTTCAAAGTAACTGACAGAATCAAGCCAAATTCACAAACTCAGTCATTCAAAAGGGTATAAATGATGACCTTTAAGATCAGAATGGATGTTTCTGTCCATACTGTATTGTTGTAGTAGATGAAAATAATCGACTTCCACAGAAAGGAGGTAGTTTAAGGCTGCTGTGTGTGAAAGGGTGACGTGAATGTTTACCAAGAGCTCACCTGCAGGTTGAACCAAGTAATCTCATCAGTGGCTGTAACCAATTCAACAATGACAGATTTGTTATTGCATCTAGATGTTGGGGATCCAACAGTGCCAGAAATGGTGTGGTGATACTGTAGGATTAATGTCAGAAATTGCATCCAGCTTGCAACTGGCAGAGTCACATATATCATTATTGCAGTGGGTGTGACTTGAATTAAGGTTGCCCAGAGAACACTAAGAATAATATTGTACCAATAAGTACCTATGGAACTGTTTATGAAACTATACACCATGGGAAAGTATCCTTCAGGAAGGTGCTATGTAAAAGAGAAAAAATTGCTGTGTGCCTTATCAAGAAGCATGATGTGGTACAAAGTGCCACCTCTAGAGATAAAATGTGTGATGCTGTGTGTGCCAACAGGGATCCAGGTCACACAGCAAGCAAAACAGACCTCCAGTGAGGAACTTCAGAGTTACCTGACCATGTGGACAAAGCAGGAGCTAAAAATATTATAAAGAAATATCAGGAAATAAGAGCTTGAAGCCAGGATGTAATTGGAAATGCTTACTTGTTTAGTAGAAAATGAGCTCTAAACAATACAAATAGTTAGAAAAACACACAGACAGACAGAAAAGTAAGCCAGGAGAGTAATAAGCCAGTGACAACTTTTCAAAAGCTGTATTTTCAGGAACAGAAGACCATTTTTTTTGAAACAAAGCAAGGTAATATTTCCAATCAGATGAAAGCTGTAACTTACTCTAAAAGAAAATTCAATGGAAGATTTTAAAGTTGGAGATACTGAAGTTATACAGAAGAAAACATGTCCCCAGATTTGGCAAAGGAATTTTCTGAGTAACTTCGCAACACTGAATCCATCCTACAGCATCTCTCCCACCAGGATTTGAAGAAAACAGCTGATACTAGCTGGGAAGGCACTCAGATTCCTGAGCTGTAAACTGAATGAGGCACATGGAAATCACAAACACATGCACTTTGTGCAGCCAAACCAAATATTACCTGGTTTTTCAATTACAAGAATTTGCAGTTATTCTGGCATAGGTGATGCCAGTTCAGTGAAAGAACTGAGATTTGTCATTCT